CTCTCCCCTGTGGGGTTCTTAGGGCCACCAGTGTCCCTTCCCTCCTTTTATTGGGGAACAGGGAGGCTCCCAGGCACACTCCCCATGATGGAAGCTACAGCTGATCCTGCTGGGCCAGAGGAGGTTCCACTGGGGCATCGGGGACCACCACCTCCACACTGGGGTGACCACCAGACCTCACACCCACCACTCCACAGCTGATATTAGGCATGGCATGGAGCAGTTTTTCCCTTCAGGAAGATTATATTTGACTCTGTTTGGAGGCTTCAGATCAGCAAACGAGCACCATGAGGCTTCAAGAGCCAACAGCGTCACGGCCAACCCAGCCCAGGAGAACCCTTTTGGGGACCGGGGCATTTTGGGAGGGCACAAAGCAGATATTTCAGCTTTGATTCTTTAAAAACTAGAAAAGTTTCACCTTCTTTGTGCTTTCTCCAAACCATTCCCCTCTGCAGTGCCAGCACTAATATCCTGTCCTGTTCTTGGCCCCATCTCCTCACACCCCACAGTTGCAGATGTCTGTTTTCCCCGTGGCTGCTCTGGGGTTGTTTTGCTTTCTTTGGATTTTTCTACTCTTCCCTGAAATAAAACTTCTTCCTCTCTCTGAGCAGCTTGCCCAGAGCCTTTTAGGGGTTGAATTCGGGATCAGCTGCCGGTAACCTGTGATCGTGGATCACAGACCCCAGCCCCTGCTGAGGGTTCCCAGCCCCATGTGTCTGAAGATGTCAAGTTGCAGCCCAATGGTGTGGGCAGCAAAAACACCCCTAAGCGCTGCCTGGCAGTGCTCATTCCTCGTGGGTCACACACCACTGCCCGGGCCCCTCCAGCAGCACCAACACCTTGCCAAAAATCCCGCCTCGAGCATCTCAGGCAGGTTTTCTTATACTTTTCCCTCCTGTTTTGCTCCAGGGCCATAGGCAGGGCAGCGTTCCAGCAGCTTTCTGCTCTGAGGTCTCCCACGCCGCCGTTGACCCCGGGGTTAACCCATGGGCAGCAGCGCACAATCCACAATCCCCGGCAGCCCGCACAAGCTGGCACGTCTGTGCGCCGCCCCTTCGCCCGTGGCACCCGCACATCAATGGCAGCACTTATAGCATCTCCCCAGCGCGTACAACAACTGCCTGTGCCCTGCCTGTGATGTAATGGGCACAAGTGTCCTGCTGCCCGCCCCGCGCCGCTGCCCGCCTCGCCTACATTGTATAGGGTGGCAGCGATGCACAGCTCACACAACAGAGACGCAGTTCAAGACCGCTCCGTCTTAAAGGCAGATGTTGGGGTTGCATGGCGGAGCTGGGGGGTGTTGGACAGGCAGCCCGGGACTGACCAGCCCCTCCTGGAGCCTCCTTAGTCACTTCTTTTGAATGCTCCAGCTTTGGCTTCCTGCATGGAGGAGGCCAGGTGTGGGAGCTGCTGCATCCTTGCCTATGGCCATGTCGCCCGGTTTAGATTCTGCACCTGGCATAGGTCAAGATGAAAAGACAGACCCCAATCTACTGAGGTTTGATTAGCAGCCTTGTTTTCAAATTCTTCTGCATCACCTCAAATAGTTTGGCTGGTCCTCTCCTCTGCTCGCTCAGTCCCCTCTCCTCCCACACGCACCACCACCTGCCTCTTCCCCTTGTCCGAGCCTGAACAGCAGCTATTCCTCTTTCCGTGCTCCTGAAGCCTGGCTTACACAAATCATTTGAACTGAGTTAACATCTCTGGGAACAGATGGGATTTTGTATCAGCGTAATTAAATTGCTACAGCCTCTGGTGAGGACAGAGTTAGATCTTGATCTTACACGGTTTCAATCAAAGAGAGCGATGACCCCAGATCAGGCTCTTATTTTAGTTGAGAGCACTTCCAGCAACACTACTTATCAACTTCAGCATGGCCAAGCAGTGCTTGGGCTACAGCTCCACTGCCTCGGTGGGTTCCTAAGTCTCCCCAGTAAGAAAAGTACCAGGAGCTGGTACCTCTGGTGAGAGCTGCTGTTGGGAACACTGAAAGAACGAACAGGTAAGACAGCAGTCAGTACCATGCAGGAAGATTACTCATATTTTAAATATTCACCAAAACCACAAAAGACCCACTTAATTCCACAGCACAGCAGAATCTCTTATCCTGAATTGCTATTAAAAAAGAATAAATCTTCAAAGTCATTGGGAAAACCCTGTCACGGAAAAGCTAGCTATGGAAACACACGGGAAGGAAAGAAGGGAAAAAAGAAGGCGGCGGTTGCAGGTACTCTGTTATTTATTGTACAATATTTCACTGAAAGTACAAAGGCATCATCAGTATTCACCAGAATTGTGTTGTAACAGGTACATTATACTCCGTGTTAAAATATGCTACTTTAAGGACGCAAGACAGAACGCAAATTTAGAAGAAGAAAGCAAGGAGTTTAAAAAAATGTAAAAATACATTTTTAGTAACTGATCTGTACAAAAGAAAAAAAGAAATTAACGAGAGTGCAGGGATTAGAGCCCCCAAAGTCATTTAAAACTATATAAAAAGGCACTGTTATCTACCGTGTAATTAGGACCTTTGGGTTCTGTTTCCTTCATACTGATGACTGGGGGGGTGGGGGAAAAACTGTTACTAAAACGATCAACTCATACAAAAGTATTTACAGTGAAGGGCAGAAAAAAATTCCCCTACTCTTGTTCCAAAAGAGAAACATTTGCCCGGTTGGAGAGCACAGCCTTCCTCCCTACCCTCTTGCTCAAAGCGTGCCACAGTGACCTTGAACAGGGGAAAGCAAACAGTGATATGGTGGGAGAAGCTGCCGGAGTCCTTCTAACAACGGGTAGGTGTCCCTCTCGTTTCTGCTTTATTGCTTTAAATTCTCCTGTAATCAGGTGAGCCGGAAAATAAAATCAAAACCCTAAAACCCACATGACAACCCCAAACCATCTGAGTCATCCTTGCTGCAAGAAGATGGGGCAGGTGGTCAGGACAGAACGGGGAGGACCAAGAGGTAGGGCTGGCTGGAGCTTTCTTTTCTAGAGAAGGGGGGAAGAGATGGGGAGAATAACGCTTCAAACTACCAGACATTTGTGCTGCTTTTCTAAACCTCACCCTGGGAGCCTGACAGCGATGTGTGTCAGTAGAAGCAAACCCAGGGCACACAAACCCACCAGCCAAAGGATCCGACAGCAGCCATGGGGCATCCCCAGGATGCTTACACATGAGCGCTCTTCGCGTGGGTAGGGGAGCTGGATCCTGAGGCGTAGTAGAAGCGGTTTTCACCGAATGTCTGGGCATCTCCCGAGCAGCAGACAATGACGCAGCCGCCGAAGAGGCAGAGGGCAGAGCCAATCCAGCCTGTGTACAGGGAGTATCCGAAGCTCATAATGGTGGTCTCGCGGTGGGCACACACGGGAAACCAGATCGTCGCAACGACACCGCACATGGCTGGGGAGAGATGGAAGAGAAAGGTAACTCCAGCATGTAACCCCACCACGGGGACACGAACGACGCCAAAGGGGAGGGAGGGACAGAGGACAGAGAAGAAGCCCATCACTCCTCCCTCGCAGTCCCACAGTGGGACCCAGGAGCATCAGCATCAGGGCTTAGTCCAAGAGATCTCCAAGCAGGAGGCAGCGTGGGAGCCTTGCGGGGAGAGGATGGAGAGACAACACCCATCTCTGTCAGGCACCAACAAATACAAATCAAAACCAACTGCTGCTTGACACAATCTGATATATTTATTACAAGGGAAACAGATTTGTTCCCTAGAAATATTTTTAAGGGGGAAGGATGAAAATCATCCCTGAAATTGATGCTCTGGAGAGCTGCTGAACAAGGAACGGATTAGATATGAAGCAAACCCACGAAAGCCACATGTATCGATGAGACAGTAAAATCGGTGGCCCAGAGTCAACTGGTTTGAATTACTATTTCTGCATGAACTCACGTGCTACGTCCTCAGCCCATGTCCATCAGCATCATGGCCGTCGCTCTACTGAGTAGTCGCATAAACATTAATGAAATATCCCAGTACTTAGCAAGAGTAGGGTTTATAAAATAGAAGCAGAAAACAGGCAGAGATAAAATAAGCAGCAGTACAGCATTGTGGGTTGTTGGGTTCTTTATGAAGAAGGAAATGTCTCACAACTCTGGAAAGCAGATTTCACTTCCCCGTGGAAAATTATTCTATATCAAGTGACGAAGACAAACCCAGCAAGGCTCTCCAGAAACCTATTGAATGGAACAGAAACAGGACTCCAACCAAAGGGAAACCAGCATTCTACCCAGAGTCTACAGCAGGTCAAAAAAATGACTGAGGACTTCAAACTTTGCTCAAAATTCCATAGTGTTTTTTTTTTTTTCCATGAAAAGCAGGAAGGCTGCTATGGTGGTGCTGTGAGGACCACTAGGCAGGTGGGGTGTGAAGCAGATCTCCTCAGGACAGTAAAGCGGGTTCAAATTCCGGATTTTGCAGGCAGAAGGGCTAAAGATCACCACGTTTTTGGTGCGCAGCACACACGCATGGTTTGCTCCGAGCACACATGCATGGTTTGCTCTAAGCAGAGAGAAAACACGTGCCCTGCATTCTCCTTGTGCTACACAGAGTCACACCCACTACCCTCACCGAGGGTCCTACCTCCATCCTGCAAAGTCCCCATGTGCACCAAAGGCAACAGGAGTTGATGGTGTTAATCACCTCACAGGAGCAGATCCTAAAACAATACTCCTTTATGGCCCATACATCTGAGAAGAATTAATCTGTCAATATTTACTTGCCTCCGGGACAAGCTGTGCAGGACTCCATCCTTGTGGCTATCAGAGAATCAGAGCAAAACAATAACAGGACCATGGCAGCGTTACAGATTTCCACCGACCGCGTTAAAAGGTATCTGGAGGCAGTGTCAAAAAGTTAAGGTTGCAAGAGGGAAAAAAAAAAGGAGTGAGATTAAAAATAAAACTGTTTAGTTAAAGCAGAGAACAAACCATAGCTCCTGGCTGGTACAGCAAAAAAACCATCCCCGATAGCTGCAGTTATTGTGAAAGAAAATATTTTCTTATGGAAAAGAGAAGAACATTTGAAGGATGCTAATAAAGCCAGTAATAATTCTGGGCCTCCTCAAAGCAAGGGCCCCGTGGCTTTGGAAGGAACTTTTGAAGAAGGCAGGGAGGGAGAACAGCGTTTCTCCTGCCGTGGATCAGTCCTGCAAACAGCTCATGAGCCTCTAATGCTTTAAAACAAAAATGTATCAGTTGGGAATCGACAAAGCATTCTAATGGGCTCCAGAAAAAAAAAGCTTCTTTGTTGTCCGAAGAGACACAATCATCTTTTCTTTTTCTGTCATCAGTAAATATATATATATGTCCATAGACTATAAGAGCCTTATCTATCCAGACCCTCCCCCACAACTGAAGAAAACACTTGCGCTGGGGTGAGAAGAGCTCTCAGGGATGCTAACACAATAGCATCTCTTGTGCATGCGGCTCAACTACATGTAAAACCACCTTATTTTAATGCTGGCAATACTGGAAAGCCGTGAAACACAAGCCAAGGACTTTGTATGGGTTAGTTTGACCTCTCTGTCTTCGGAGGCTACCAGCTGCCGTCAGTCACCAGTGACTCCATTGCTCAGCAGGAGGAACACCCTGAAACAGGACTGGATTTCATCGCTCCGCATAGATTAGGTTGGGCTGTAAATCCTCCGAGAAGATGTGAAAAGGGCAGTCTGCAATTGCAATATTTCTCGGTGAACTCAAATTTTGGTCCAGCTGTTATCACAGAGAAAGGATGGAGAAAAGTTGGTTTGCCAAGAAACCCAAAGGGATCGGAAAAGGCATTTTCCGGGCAAGTTTCACATACTAAAATAGCAGCCTACACAGACGAACTCTTTGAAATTATCACCCCTTTTCTTTTGTGCCGATGCTGAGACACTCCTTGCCTTTCCCTAAATAAGCATGTCTTCAGATAGTAGGGCTGCTGTAGTCAATATAGTCCAGCAAAAATGTGAAAGGAAGTCTGCAAACAGAAGGAATATCTTCTATCAGACCAACTACGTCAGCTGGAAAAACGGGCATGTTTTGGGACACACTTGCTGGAAAGCTTGCCTGCTTTTTGCAGCTAGAGTAAGCAATCCTGTAAAAGCCACTGCCTCTACCTGCAAAAGTCAGCTGAGTAATACAATCATAGAATCATAGAATGGTTAGGGTTGGAAAGGACCTCAAAGATCATCTAGTTCCAAACCCCCTGCCACGGGCAGGGACACCCTCCACTACACCAGGTTGCCCAAAGCCTCATCCAACCTGGCCTTGAACACTTCCAGGGATGGGGCATCCACAACTTCTCTGGGCAACCTGTTCCAGTTCCTCACCACCCTCAATGTAAAGAATAGCTGATACGGTTGTCCTTGCTCCGTCAGATCACTGTGAATCCACAGGGACACATCCCAGGCTCCCAGTGTTTCTTTCGGACTGTGGGCTTGTAGTGGCTCAATCCATTGAGCCAAAATTCTTAATATTCTACATTACAGGCATAATATAGTCAGACAGAAGTACACAGAGACAAGAAGCACAGAAGGTGCTTGGGGAGGTGGGGGAGATAGAGCAGGATTACTGTAACTCTAGGGACAGCGAGTCCCTGCCAAATTCCTTAACAGTAAGTTAGAGGCTTTCCACAGAAGAAAGAATACTTCTATTCCACAGCTAAATTTAATCATTCTGAGTTGCTGACTCAAAGTCACGCAGATTTCTCTTTCAAAGAGTTTGGCTGAAATAACAGATATCCATGATTTATTTTTTTTCAATGTTCAAGGCAATCTTTTTATCCTGATATCTATGGTTTTACAAGAAAATCTCATGCTGCATCCAGAAAAACTTATTAATATCCTTTATTTAGAATATGATAGCTTATACAATCATTTTGTAGTAGTGACTGCCAATAATTAACATATTTTTCATCTGTGTTTTCCAGTGTCTCGAGTCCATCACCTCCGTTAGGAAAATGCCCGCTCGGTTACCAGCACGAGGTCCCCCGAATTAGTATCAACAACACAGGATGGGCCAGGGTTTTTTCCATCAACACCAGTGTATGAAATGTTTTCATACTGGTTCAGAGCAAACCTCTGCTGATGGTTGTTTTCAGCAATAAATCAGTTCTCTGGGGCAGATAGGATCAAGCAAAGACATAAATACATCAGCAGGCAGGATAGGAGGGTGTGCACACAGGTTGCACTCTGCAGCCTGCTATTACGAGCGGACAGAAAAATCAATGGAATATCTGAGCCCATTGTTTTCCTGGCAAGTTTTCAACTCTTTTTTTTTTTTCCCTACGCTGTTTCTACCCCTGTTTTCCTTTTTAATAAATTTCAAACAAACTGTCATCCCTTCCCTGAGCAACAAGTGACGTTTGCCTTGAGGCCAGCACCCCTGATCACATCTCCGCTCTCTACTTCTGCTGCACTAGTGAGCATTTTGGGGTTTGTTTTCTCTTAACCAGAGCTCTGGCAGCTGGTCCTCACTTAGAGGAAAAAGGCTGGAACCCACGGGGTTGGGGAAAACCACCGACGAGAGTTCAGTGGCCAGAGGGTAAATAAGAACAGCCCAGTGCATATTATTTCTAGAATATAATTAATTTGAAGTCAGTATTATGACTATTGAGGCCTTATTCGTGCTTATTAAATGCTCTGGAATGGCAACACCACATTTTACAAATAACAGATCATTAATCAGCTTAAATAATGTCCAAGTCCCAAGCTCAATGCGTTATTCTTCTTCCAAAGGGACTGTCTTGCTGATCAGCCTGGAAAAATTTGGCTTTTGCAAAAATAAATGTGGGCTGGTTTGTTTTGCTTAAGAGCAAAAGGAGCTTATTTTTTCTTCGTGATCTGACAAAAAGAGCATTATTGTAATTGTGACTAAAACATTGTGAACGGGCTGCTGTTCCCAGCCCAGATCATTCAGGACATCAGCGACATGAGAAAATCACTTCACCTGTCAACACTTCAAAACTCACAGGGGCAAATCAGTAAGAAGTCCAAATCCAACCCAAAGAGCATTCATCTGCCAATGTCTGTGTAAATACACCTTTCCTTTCCTCACAGGATCTACTTAGTGGGAAACCCACGTTCTGAGGCAGAGTGGAGCTCCTCTCCTTCACCCTCTCACATTTATTCTCCTCCTGGTGCCACAACACAGCAAGACTGGGATGGGAGAGCAGCAAACTAGACCCCAAACCTTGATGCAACACCACAAGATATGGGATTTCACTTATTTTAATGCAGTTACCCAATACTGTCACTGCAATTCATTTGCTGCATGTGTGTCAGACCTCTAATCCTGTTGCCCTTAGGATTTAGGGGTGATACTCTCACCTCCGTGCTGGCAGCCATGCAAAAGGGGCTGATCCACAGCACGGTTCTCCTTGACTGGAACCAAAAACTCACATTTGTCTATGACAAAGTGCAGCTCTACTGGGCCTCGCCCATCCTGGGCAGGGGAAATCCAGCAGAGCAGAGTCCTCTGGCACTAAAATTTCATTCACAGGCAGAAAAAAAAGCCCACTTTTTCTTTCACTTTTCCAAGCCCAAACACATATCTCAAGGTTTCGGGACAAGGATGAAGACTACATTCCAACAGCTCTCTAATGTGGTTGTTCATGATCAGGATGTCCTAAACAGGACCTATAAAGCTGATTTTAGGATTTCCAGCTGTGGCAACATGCCCTTAAACCCCACAGACGTTGAAAAGGCCCCTTGGTCTCAGTCCCTTAGATTTTGGATGTACTGACTTGTACTAACTGCTCCTCACCAAGACACCGGAGGAGAGACCGCCCGCAAGGAAGGAGCATCCCGAGGACAGCCCCTCCGAGCATGCAGCTATATCCAGTGCCCACTCGAAAAAATATAAGGAGAAGAAGAAAGAAGACGGGCATGATGTCAGCGCGGGCTGCCAGCGACCAGCAGAGCCACACAAAGAGGCCACTTTCCCTCACCCCTCCTCCTCTGCCACACAGACGGGTAAAAACAAGGCACCGCAGCCTGTTGCTGAGATGACGAGGCTTCAAGAACATGCAGGTGTTGCATTGGGGACAATGAGCTCCACAGTCTGCTCTGCTCAAAACAATCTCCTCTGCAGGCACTGAGGACGGGAAGAAATTCCCAGGGGAACTTAGAGGTCAAGGGCAAGGCTGGCCAGAGGGGGCTGGGAGGCACAGGGGGAGAGAGACAGTTTGCAAGCATGTGTAGTGATAGGACAAGGGGCAATGGCTTTAAACTGAAAGAGGGGAGATTTCAATTAGAGATAAGGAAGAATTTTTTTACGAGGGTGGTGAGGCATTGGAACAGGTTGCCCAAAGAAGTTATAGCTGCCCCATCCCTGGAAGTGTTCCACGTCAAGTTGGATGAGGCTTTGAGTAAGCTGGTGTAGTGGAGGGTGTCCCTGCCCATGGCAGGGGGGTTGGAACTAGATGATCTTGAAGGTCCCTTCCAACCCACAGCGTTCAATGATTCTACGATTCTATGACATACCAGCCCTCTTCCCAGGTCCATGCCACCTCCTTGCTCTCTCCCCAGCTGTCCCTACAGCACCAGCACCCCCTCAGCATTGGGCTTCCCTTCCCACACGCTTCAGCTTACTTTGACCCAGCTGCATCTGCCATGCCCAGGGAAAATTTGGAGGCTACCCATTCCCTGTAAGCAGCTTGGAAGTTTAGACCCTTTTCTAAAAATAAGGTCGTTTCCACAGCAAACCAGCAAAACCAGTGCCCGTGGGCCGCTGCCCGTGTGCAGCTGCCATCGCCCTCCTGCAGACACAGGTGGTGGCTTTGCCCGAGGACTCCACAAGTGAACACACAGTAGGGTTTTGCAGCCCTCCCCTCTTCACCTTGCTTCCCTCCCTGCCTCCTGCCTTTGTCCTCCTGCTCCTGTTCGTGCCTTTTGTTCACCCCACAGACTGCAGCGATGCTGGAGAGCTTCAGGGTCAGCCCAGCCTGGGCAATTATGCTTTTAGGTGAACACGCTCCAGCAGCTTGCACCACACCACCCTGGAGCAGAAGATGACCTCCAGGTCCACACACACGCGGGGCCAGCGCCTTACCCAGGAGGATGATGAGGATCCCTCCCAGCTGGGACCTCCGGTACTTGGCAGCTCCAGGCTCGTGGCCCATCCGAATGCAGGGCAAGACTGTTATCAGCAAGAAGATGGCAGGAAGACCCAGGACAGAGGCAGCGATCATCAGTGCTCGACATGCTTGGACATACCCTATTGGCAAGGCAAGGAGAGAGGATTTTGATTATTCAGCACAAGAGAAGGAGACCTTTGGACAAAGGGTCCTGTTTGATTAGCTCCCAAGACTTGCATGGAGTATGGGAGACAGGTTCAATCCTTTGTGCAAACAATTAAATCTTCACCAGGCGTAAGAGTGTGAGACTGGAGTACAGCGGGTAGGGCATGAACATGAGATGTGCAAGCTTAAAATTTTCTAATGAACAAATAGCACCGCCTGGGAAACACAAATTTTTCCTAGCAAGATATTGAGAAATCATGGAGTTGGGAAATATGGGAAGGGAAAGTAAGAGAAGCAGCTAGGAAGGAGTTTTCCTACATCTTCACAAAGAGAGCCTTGGTTAAATAATAGCAATTTAAAGTCTTCAAGAACAGCTTGCTGTGAACAGAGAAGATCATAGTCATTATGCAAATATAATTTATTTTCTATATAATTTTTGTATATATATATAATTCATATATCAAATGTAAAAATTGTTTATAAGTAAATAAAAGCAGGTTGTTACTTGCACGCAACAGAAGAAGAACCAGTATCAGATTGCTCCAGTGCCTGGTGAGTCTCCACCAGCTCTCGGGACAGCCTCAGCAGAGCAAGTGTGCTGGCTCTCTTTCCCCTCTTATTAACAAAACGAAGCTGCCACATGCAAACATGGAGTTTTGTGATGCCTCAAGCAATATCAGCAAAAAGGGGCACCAAGTAAGTCCCACTGACACACAGATAAGGCACCAGGAATGAGGATTTTACTGTTCCTGGAAATGCAGACTCTGTGTACATTGAATATTTGCTTGATTTTTCAAGAGGAAATCTAACAAAAAGTTACCTGAGGAGCCCAGGACAGAAAACAGGACCCTAAACAAAGGCGCTGGCAGTGCCCAGCGTGGTTTCTGTTAATCGATCCCGATTAAACAAGTATACAAACACATTCGTTTAAGGACTTGGCTCAGTCAACAAAAGACTCCAAACACATTTCAGCTCTCAGGCACACCAGGATAAATTTCTCTCCCTTGGAAAGCTGTGGGTATCAAATGGGTTACAAACCAAAGCATCTTGGTTCGTGATTTGTTTCTGCTGGAGAGAAGCGTTGTTTTCTGCTGCTGAAAGACCTATTTATCTATTTATTAAATTTCATTCAGTAATGTTTTTTCGGGGCAAGCCTTTTCTCTGCCTTCTGCGCCAGATCATATTAAACCATAGCAGCAGTAAGGAAGCTAAATCTACTAAAATGAAAGTATACATAGAGAGAGAAAGGGAGAATAGGAGCTAGTCTGAGAGATTCAATATTGCCAAGCACTATGTGATACGCACACGGCTCTGTAACAGAGAAAATCAAGAATAATGTTTCTATCCTCTTGTGAAATTACTTTCACAACAGTTTAAACAAATAAATAAGGAAACATGAAAGAAAACTCCAAGGAATGGCTATTTCTACCCTGTCAGCCTTGGAAGAGGCATCTCTGAAATGCTAGAGGAGGTGCAATCCAAAACACAGCAGAATGAAGCAGCCCTGCAGAGGTAGCAGTGATCGAAACAGGTTTAAGATGGTTAACTAAACTTCCAGGGACAAGACCATGCAAAACTTCAGCAGGTTTAATTAGCTCAAGAGATGTAGTACTACTGATGAAACACCTTGCTTAATTTTTGCTTTGCAGTAAAGTAGATGAAAATTACTACATAATTAGAAAATATTTAAAGACAAGTTAAATGTAGGTACATCTGTTTGCCATGTAAAAGTTCTGCCTTGCCTTGGAACGTGTGGGAAGCACAAGACCATCAAGACTAATGACAATCTTCCAAAAGATTAAAAGCCCTAGCAGCATTAATAATAGATGCTGAAAGATTCATTACACTCAAAATCATTTTAAGGCATAGAACCTTAACATTCGTAATAGTTCATCATCATCTCAAAGCAAAACTCAAAGTACTCTACTACATCCCAAAGTACCCTATTACTGCTCAATGTACTACACATGTTTCACAACGCATTCTAGATGCAAGATGTGAAAGGAACAGCGAGCATTTACTAAAAGCAACGACTAAACATTAATTAACTGGGCTTTAATAGCCACAGATTACACACGATACCTGGGCAGGATTAAAACCAGGTATAATTTCATGAGAATCATGCTAAGAACTATCATACACATTCTTTAGTGGATTTAATGGACCATCTCCTGCGCTGATGGAGTTGAAGGAGCTTTGCCATCAATTCATCCTGCCCGCTCGGGGCAAGGTTTGGCCCCTCAGCTCCGGGTGGGAAGGGGGAGGACGGGGCACACATACCTGGCAGTATGAGGATGTCCACGAGAGGTTTGCAGTGATAGAGACCAGTCGCCATGACACAGTCTGCCCACAGCCCCTTGGATCCCAGCTCATCCATTTTCCTGCAGGTGGTAATGGTGTAGCCACAAGTCACCACCCAGTCATTGGTGGCCGTTGCCACAACCACCCCGATCCACCCTATAAAACTGCAGACAAATCCAGCCAGGTGCAGGCAGGTGGCCACCATGTCGATCCCTTGGTGGGGCGAGTTGGACAGGAGAGCGCCTGCTGGGGTTCAAGCAAAGCTGGCCGGTGAGTCCCTGCTGCAGATCCCGGCTGCTGGGACCAACTGCAAGTTGTGAGTGGGAGGGACGGGGGTTTGGTAGGAAGAGGTTCCTGATCAGGCGCCGCTGCAGGCACTCGGCTGCCTCTGCCCAGTTCCCTCCCTGGGAGGGGTCAGAGCTGCCTCCAGCCCCATAACGCCGGGGAGGAGCAAGTGTGGAGCCCCAACTTCTGCCAGTTCATCAAAAGAGTCGGAGGGGAAGGAGGGTGTGGAGAGGAGGAGATGCAGAATTACACCCACCCGTGCTTGAAAAACAAACCAGACTGCTTTATCCAAGTGCAAACAGCCTGACTGTTCAAAATGCAGCATCAGGGGAGAAAAATTAAGGCAGTGTTTTAGAGCTGAAGACAAATGATCACGCTGGTACCCTTTTGTGGAAAGATAGGGCAAGAAATGTGGTGGACAGAGTTACTCAAGAGGTGGAATTAATCACCTTGTCAAAGCCGTCAGCAAAGCTGCAGTAAAAGGACAAAATCCATATTGGGTCTTTCCTGATGTTTTTAGTAACTGCAAAACCATAAGAGACTCATCACAGCATTCTCTGCTTGTGCCTGGGTTTTCACAAGTGTTAACTAACACTCACAGAGTCTTAAATGCGTGTTAAACAGCACCTTATTTCCACTTCTGAATGCTAACATTAAAACGAGCAGCTTTTCGTTCAGACTCATTACAGGTGTATATTTTAGTCTACTTGGTAAAACAAGAAGTAACCCACTTCAAAATGCCAAAAGAAAAACTTCACAGCCCGTTCTGCATCAGGAGAAACAGGCAGGCAGGATGTTTTCCTGACTTCACTTTGCATTGCCACAAACGCATATATATGTCATCGGATGCCAACACATCCCTAACGAAATCTCATCCTTGTGCATCCTCCAGTGCTTCTGGCTTTGGAAAGGGGAGGTTTGGATCCAGGCAGATAAGACATGCCTGGAGGGACCACTAGCGGAGAGCTGTCCGCAGTGCATGGGGAAAGGAAACACTGGGAAAAAAAAATGAGAGGACAATGAATTTAATTCATTCCCAGTGAATTCATTCCTGTTAGTGAAAAAGAAATATCAGGAAGCTACAGTCCAGGATTAAGATGCCGGGAATGAAATATGTTCTGCTCTTCATCCAACAGTATTTTTTCCCATATTTTAGCAAGTAAAAGGAAAAACATGAATAAGACCATCCCAAGCTTCATCATCTGTTCCTTAAATTCAAAATTCAAGGACACGAGGCCACAGTTTTGTTTTGTCAAAGCTTCATCTAAACACTGGAGTTACTACATAAATAGTTGAAAACTCTCTTTGAAGAGAACCTTTTATAATAAATAGAAATTTAATAGTTGTTTTCACATTTGTTTTATATTTTTGGGTTTTTTGGTTTTTGTTTTTTTTTTCTATACCTGCTTTACAGTATTTTTGTGAAGCTATGCTGCCATCGGCTTTCCTGATGTGATTCCACCTTTCTACAGCTTATTCTTCTACTGCACCCACTTCAGGTGGTGCAAGCTGTTATATCCAACCACCATTGTCATGTTGCCTAGGGTTCGGTTCTAGACGGATTTAATCTTTGCCCAAACAATATTCCTGCTTCTTTATTATTCAGGAGATAAACTCGTCATCTCTCAAGTGAAACCAGTGTTGTGCCACTTCTTGGACCATGCAATTGCGTTGGACAGATCACGTGTCACCTCCTGAATCTGGAAGGAGATGAGCTGACAAATGAACACGTTCCTGCCTCTCCCCTTTGCTGACTCACTTTGCATTTTTTCAGTCTAGCATTTCCTCCATCTCACTTTATGGCATTCTGTAAATCAAAGATCTGATATGTTTGATAGTATAACCGTACTTCGCTTAATTTGGTTAATCCCAGGCATAAGGATGCTTAACCACTTCGGGATAACTGATCTCAACCTCTGTCGTCCAATGATGTTGTCACCACACAGTCCTTTGGAGGTTAAAACACATGCATATCCTCTAAATCATGGTAATTCTTAGATTTCTGATGTACTCCAAACTATATTGTTTTTCTTCAAAATACCAGAAAATTTTGCAACATCTTGATACCCCATTTCATCCCAAGGCTGAGATTAGAAGCACTTCACATGGTGATAGTGCAGGCATATGCTAATACACAAAAAAAAATGTCCATAGGGACGAGAAATATTTACTGTTTTGTCACTATTGTAAATAATACTCCTAGTATTTAAGTGAATACAAGCCTGTACGCTACAAGTGAGCAACGATTCGCAAGATCAATAAAATAAAAAACAAAGAAGAATGACTTCCCAACTACATGCTAAATAAATCGATACACTTAGGGCGATATTCTTAAAATTTGCCATTTTTAAAGCAAGTGCTACACGTGCATTTATTTCAGGCACAGCGTGATCACCTTAAAAATCAGTATTTTTACCCTGGTACTGAAGCAGTTTTTCCTTGATCAGCGTTGTTTTCTCTGACAAATGACATGCGTTGCCATCAGTCATACACAAGCTATCGACGCTGTGACTTCTTCTCATGTAAGTGTCTCACCTTGAACAACTTTGCAGGGTTTTCCAGCCTGGTAGCTTCTCCCTTGCTTGGAAATACAGCAGTATCACCTGGGATGCAGAAATGAACAGGTTTAAGTGGTATGGTTCGTTGTTTTCCTCCATACTAAAGCCCAAGCTCATCAAAATATTACCTATTTTGCCTTTATCCTGGTTCATACATCTCACTTTTCAGCTGTAAAATACAGTAAGTACATGGCAGCATTAAAGGTTTGTAATAATCTGAAACATAATCAAGGTTTCCTGTATGCAAGAGCAGCACCTCCAAACACAGGCAAAGCATTTTTGCTCCAATTTGAGGGGAAAGAGATTCAAGTGTGTGTATGTGACCGCACTTGCTTATCTGTCAAGAAAAACCTCTCAATATTAATAAAATCACATAGAAAATCTCCAAAATATTATTTGCAGTAAAAGTTACATATTTTTACTACAAGATAGGGTTTTCTTAAGTGACCAGTAGAATACAGCTTATAGCTACAAGTGGTGGAAGTTCAACTTAAATGGAAGACCCATTCATCTACAGCTTACAGGAAGAACTCCCTCTCTCCTTGCCTCCTTCTCTCTCCGAGTTTTCTGCTATTTAAGCTCCCTTATGGTACACAAAAATCTTAAGCAATGTAATCACATGATTCACAAAAACTAAGAACTCCTGAGAGTCACTGAAGGGCGTATTTTCCATCGGCAGTAAATATTTTTACAGCAAATACAGTATAATTCTTATTTCTGATTTTAACTTTTTATAATCTCAGCACTTTATCTGGTAATGTGGGATTTTTTTGTTTTGTTCATTACTAAGCTATTAAAGACAGGTATCTACAACTCAAACATTGCTAGAGTAATCAAGTGTTAACAAAGGCCATGCACCAGAAAACATGTCAAAACCATAAGTGGTTGTATTTACATATATAAACATCAAATTTGTGTCAAGATACCTTTACGGAGCCGTAAGAGCTTTAGAAAATGGACTCATAGTGAGGGAAGGCTATGGATCTTGTAGATTTTGCTAAAAATGCCCTTTAGAAAACTGGGGACCTGCTGCAGGTAGTGGGAGTTCTGCTAACGAGTTTCAGTGTCACCAGGTTTTTATCTACTGTAATCAAACCAAGGAAGACTCTGTCCTCCTTGGAAAAGCACCATTCTCAAAACAGCTTCCAAAAAGTCAAGTTTATAAGTCAGTGTTCAAAAATATTACAAAGACAAAAGTTCTGACATTACAGTTCTTTATTTGTTTCTGAATCCACAATCTATACAGGTATTTACAAGGCATGAAAATGGATAACAGCACAAAATACAATTGAGGTATAAGCTAAGAGCACAGTATGTCATGTTTCAATAAATATAATTCAAAATTTGTAAACTAAGTGACCAGATAGATGCATCTTGTTTACTAAAACCATATAAAATATCTGTTAAATCTCACGTGAGGTAGAGGACAGTTTTGTGTGTCATGTAACGCAACCAGAGCAACCCTAAGACTGTACATCATTGGCAAAGTATTAAAAATCGTTGAACGCACTGATCATTTTTCACAGGCTTTTACTATGGTTTCAGAATAGTCATTCAACCTGCTGCCTTGAGCTAACACGGACTCTGTTGTTTTGCAGCTACTTTCTGTCATTTAAGATAATTATACTGGCATGTCAACATCAATAAATACTTTCGAAAGTGAGTATGAAAACACAAAAACAGATTTCGTCAATCACAGAAAGCAACATAATGGCAACAAAATATTTTAGACCAACTTTTTATTATTTCCTAGAATTAGTTTAAATACAGTACAGCTGTGCTTTCCTTTAAGTGAGGTATCTATATTTGAAGAAAAAAAATTCAATTGATATTGTTATATTTAATCAATTTTCAAATAGCAAAATTTTATACCATTTGTTTGCTGTGCTTGATGAAGTGCTTAAAACTCATTTTTTCAAGCGTTTTCCGACTGAACCACTAACCTTGAAAAAAACAATTTTCTAAGTAATGGAGACACACTACAAAATTGTTGTGCAATTTGTAAGTAGTAACCACTGACTTTCACAAAAGCTAAAAAAAATGTTCTTTTGAAATAGAGATATGCAACAAACAAAATTCTACAAGCTTTCTGTAATGAAAACTGATGAATACTCACACTACAAAGGTAATGAGCAAAAAGAAAATTGAAAATTGCAGCTTTCTGCTGCTTACTATCGACAGCTTAAGTAAAATTACTGAAATATTGCAAGCACAGATTAACAGGTAGGTGTAATTCCAACTTTTGTTGACTTAACCATGTTATAGAAAACTCTGTTGTGTGGACTAATTACATGAATTAAGTGCAGAAAAAATACAAAGTTGTTATCTTTACTGACAATCAAAATATATACTCTACGAACAAGTGAATTCTAGGAAGCTGACCGTGACAGCATTTCAAGGCCAACTTCACGACTAATGCTAGGAAAGTTTTCCAAAAATTTCAT